ATAGAAAATCATAAAAATTTCTATACCATACTAAAAAATGAGAATGTTGTCTTTACCATTTATAAAAATGAGGGTGGTGACAATGTTTCGTGAAAAAGCCTAATTTTTACTTTCCATTTTTACCCTTTTTAGTTTTCTAATTTTATTTAATTAACGACTAACTCTTGTAATTGGTTAAAACAAATAAAATAATAATAATTTTTTTTCCAATTTTATTTAGTTAACGGTTCATGCTTTTAACAAATAAAATAATAATAAAACTGCTATGGAACCTACTCTTCTCTCTCCCCTTAGGCCTTATTTGATCTTCTCCCCAATAGGGCTACAATCGGATCAGATTCTAATTGGATGTAGCAAAATCCGCATCCGATCCGAATATTAAGAAACTACATTCAAATTTGATCTAAAATCCGATTGGATTTAGAGACTCGGATTCGAATTTGAATCCTAACAAACTCATATTGGATTCATATTTAATTCGATTCCACTTTAAATTCTCTAAAATGCCAGTAAAATTAAAAATTTATTTATTTCTCAACTTTTATATATAATAAATTAATATAAATACAACATACTAAATTTATTATATATAAATTCATATATAATATAATATTTAAAATATATTTTTATAAATTTTAATATAATTATATAGAGTTTATATAGTAAATTTAATAAATATTATAATATAATCATATTCAAATTTTAATCAAATCATATTGGGTCAAATCCAAATCCGATTTGATTTAATTGGATGTAGATTGTAACATCCGAATTTGATTCGATTACATAAATACGTAATCTAAATCCAAGATAATCAGATTGGATGTAGAATTGGGCCTTGGATTTTCGGGTATCATTGACAGGCCTACTCCCGTCAGGCCTACCTAACGAACATCTTCATTGATTAGAGCCAACATGTGTCAAGTATCGGATGGTTTGCCCAAAACCCACGAATTCAAATTGAAGGGAGGAATTTATTTTTTGACCTCTCTATTTTCATCATCGAACAATCAATTAGATGATTAAATGAAGCCTTTTTTGGTTTTCTCCCTATTTTTTCAGGTATTTTTTCCCATTTCCCCTCTATTTCGGTTGTCTTCGTTAACATAATAAATTGTATTGGATCGACAAATGCTTTCAGGTTCATTATATTGATTTGTTTTAGGGTGTTTTTTTCTCGACGATCATCATGCCAGTCCAATAATCTAACACCCTACCAACGTAATATCGTAGGGGTTTTGTCCTTAGTAGGGTCGTAGGGGTTTGGAATGTGTTTTGTTGGTAGGAGATCCAGACTCTTCTATAAAAATCGGATGGATGTTCAATTCAAATCCGAATATAAACAAATCAAGATCAACCTATATCCAAACGCTAGCCGTTAGATATGCAAATAACAGCCCCACCATTGACGAACAGAACGACATGGGGCAAAAGGCCAAATATTATCATTCACACATGAAGTGAAGAAATAAATTTTAAAACCCCAATTCTCTCCTTTAAACCCCTCTCTGTATAGTGTATTATCTTATCCATTCCCCCTACTTCACAATAGGAAGGAGGAAATAGAAATGGTGTCTCTTTATCCTATGCACCTTTCTCCTTCAAATAAAGAAAACAATATAAATTACAAAAAAAAAACAAAGAAATACACAAAAGCATTTACAAAAAAATAGAAAATCATAAATATTTCTATACCATGCTAAAGAAATGAGAATGTGAATTACACAAAAAAATATAAAAAATCATAAAAATTTCTATAACATGTATATCTTATATACTAAAAAATGAGAATGTTGCATATGGTTTGGTCAAAACACCCTGATTTTATTTTCCAAATTTACCCTCAACTTTCTATTTTTTCCATTATATATAATGTCACTACAAAATAATTATGAAAAACATAAAATGAAGAAAACAATATAAATTACAAAAAACAAAGAAATACATTGAAAATTTACAAAAAATGTAGAAAATCATAGAAACTTATATATCATACTAAAAAATGAGAATGGTGCAATTGGTTTGGTCAAAACACTCTAATTTTACTTTCCAACTTTACCCTCAACTTTCTATTTTTCCTATTATATATATATATATATGTTTTTGCAAAATAATTATGAAAAAACACATAAAATGAAGAAAATAATATAAATTATAAAAAACAAAGAAATACATAGAAAATTTATAAAAAAATAGAAAATCATAAAAATTGAAGAAGATAACATAAATTACAAATCTATACCCAATATATAAAAGCATAGTCAAATATCACCATCAATATCAAATACCCTGTGCATCTTATGGGCCATTCCACTAGTTAATTAAAAAAATACAATACAATTGGAATTAAATAGTATAATAAATTTGAATATAAAAAATTATATTATTGTTCCATAAAACTGCTTTTGTAAAAGTACTTTCGTAGAAATGTTTTTATAAAAGTGCTTTCAGAAAAGTACTTTTGCAAAAGTGCTTTCGTAAAAGTTCTTCCATAAAAGTGCTTCCATAAAACTACTTCCATAAAAGTGATTTCGTAAAGTGATTTCGTAAAAGTACTTTTGTAAAAGTGCTTTTATAAAACTACTTCTGTAAAAATGCTTTCATAAAAGTACTTTTTAAAAATGATTTCGTAAAAGTATTTTTATAAAAGTGCTTTCGTAAAAATACTTTTCATAAAATTATTTTTATAAAAGTATTTTCGTAAAAGTGCTTTCGTAAAAGTACTTTCATAAAAGCGATTTTATTCTATCTTCAGTTTTGACTGATTTCAAATTGGACAAAGGTTTGGCATCATGATCAGATTATTGGAAATTTGGTTTTGGTCCAATTCAAACCAATAAGAATATGGACCAATTTATTTTGGATTGGCTCAATCTAATAATTATAATGGACCGTCCAAATCCTATTTGATAAGGTTTGGATCGGATTGGATCCAAACCAAAACTGGTCGATTGACACCCCTACGCATCGCACATCTCTCATACATGGCAGGTCCTAGTCTCATGGTGAGATGTGCGGTGTTAGATCAAGTTGGTAGAGGGTTAGAAATAAGCCTGTTCATGGGCTGGGCATCCCGACGGCCCGACTTAGGCCATTTCATTCAATATACTCTCCTTCAACTCTTCCAAATCATAGCCGACGCTAGCAGCAGTGAGCACCTGAGTGGTATCATCTTTCATCATAGTTTTCAAAACCGGACCGGACCGAACGGTCAGACCGGAAAAATCGACGATTTTCCTCAAAATTGGATTTTTCATAAAAACAATTGATTTTGGTCCACAAAACGCAGACCTGGGCGGTTAACCGTTTGAATCGTTCGAATGGTTTTGACCGGTTTTCATTTCTTTAATTTTTTTAAATTTTTTTAACTTTTTGTCAAAACGGGCCGACTGTTCGGGTCAACCCAGTAACCGGACCCCTGACCAATTCGATCTTTGGGTCGGTTTTAAAAAACATGTCTTTCATCTCCTTCCACAAACAGTGAAGCAGCAGCCAACAGGCGATATCATCTCTCTTGGAAGGCGGTGCCCCATTTCCCATTCTCTGATTATTAAATATACATTAGCACGGTCACAGACTAGAGGCGGTGTCCCCATTCCCTAACAACGGCCGACGACATCTACAATGGAAGTCGGACAAGCCACAATCGGTGATAGAAAACTCCATCAAGTCTCTCTCTATCTCCCCCATCCTCCAGTTCACCGACCCTTTTGATTAGTTTAAGCTTTAGGCTCATGCTCGGGCCTCAGGCTTTTATGAGGGTTGACTCAGGCCTAAAATAAAGGCCCGATGGTCGGGCCAAACTCCTGCTCGGGCCTATGGGAGAAGTACCAATCAGCCCAGATCAGAATTTACTAGGCAATGCATCCTGACCGTGAATTGATGCCAAATTCACGGGCAGGATGTGGTTTATAGGGGGGAGAGGACTAGTTGTAGGGGGGGAGCTGGAATTCAGAATTCTGCATCGTGTGTTTCCGTACTTTTCTCTAATATTTATGTTTATACCGTGTGAAAGTCCGGCCCTGCCCATGAAATCAGAGAAAATCAAAAAAAAAAAACTCGTTAATAATATAAAAAAATCCAAATTCAACAGAAAGATATTATTCCCACAAATGGAAGTGCGACAGTTGAAAATTGGAACTTGCTAAGATACGCCGGACAGTTGAAAATCAAGAAATTAGATTTTAGAAATTGAAAGAAAAAGAAGCATAAAATCCATTGCACTCTACAAAAATTATTGACGCCTTCCATCGTTTCTTCCTCGTATGTTCCTCATTTCTCCCAAGTCCCAATCTTTTCTGCATCTCTCCATGCGGCTCGTCTATCATCGTGGAATTTAATAGATATCAGCGTCCGTCATCGTGGAGATGGGTAACGCGCGCCTTGTGGAAATACAAGCAAGAGCAGGAGATTAGAGGAGGAAGTGGGTTACGACATTGCAGATGCATGCAGGCTTTCAAAGATTAGGGTTTTGTGGATTTCGGATTTCGGAGAAAGTCTGAACGATGACTTGAGGAGTCTCTTTTTTCCGTTTTCCGCCATCATCGGTAGATAATGTAAGTTGCAAGTCTGCAATCGTGGATTTCAAATTTCAGAGAAAGTCTGAACGATGAGTTGAGGAGTCTCCTTTTCCGTTTCCCGCCACTATCCATAGATAACGTTGGCAGATGGCTGCAAGCATTCGCTTCGGTTAGGGTTTTGTGGATTTCAGATTTCAAAGAAAGTCTGACGATGAATTGAAGAGTATCTTTTTCCGTTTCCCGCCATCGTCGGTATACACTAAAGGTTTTAGATCTGTACATATAGGCAAAAACGTAGATCCGATCTAATGGTTATGTATCCTATATCATGGCCGTGGATATTCGTCCTATTAGATCAAGTTCCTACATCCCACGATAAATACCCGATGCAACGACTAATCGGCTAGAAAAATAGAATGGAAGAGGAAGGTGGAGAGAAGTCGAGCATTGTGATCGGTCTGATCGAGAACAGTGCAAAGGTGGTATCGTATTTGATCCAAGATGTTGTCTCTCTCTCTCTTTCTCACTCAAATATTCTATTGYGATCTTATCGAGGTTGAAGATTTTTGAAACTACAAGTATTTTCTTATTTTCCTCCTTAACGTTGTTCGGTATTCAGATCATCTGCAGCTTCTCGAGTATCAACCTATGATCCTATCCACAAGCATTGGCTGAAAGGTAACTTAATTTGGAATTTGGAAATGAAAATCCCTATTTGCTTTATTCTCGTTCTCAGTGCTACTAGCTCAGCTCAGACTTAACGTGACTAAGATCAACGGTTCCAGATTTGATTGAGAAGATTAAAGTAATGATCCAGATATATATGCACTAAGAGAATTTACCTCTAATTTAAATTGAAACAACGAATTTGCTATAGTTCTCATGTGGAAATTCAACTGGAAAGTCTTGGATGAGATTGTAACCTGAGGTGGTCCTGGGCAGCCTTTAATGGCCTGGGCTCTATTGTAATGTTTCTTTGATTGAATAAAGTACCTTACCTTTTACAAAAATAAAGAGCAAAATCTTGAATCTAAATGCATCTGTTATATTTCTTAGCAGTAGAAGCCAGAAAGCCGTACCTGTATAGAAAACGAGAAGTAGCCTATTCAAATGTTTTAAAAATGAGTCTTATGTAATCTTTGAATTTCTGATGTTAAACAAATGTTTTAAAAATGAGTCTTATGTAATCTTTGAATTCAAGCTTGTTTTGAACCTGTGCTTATAATAATTATTTAGTGAAATAAAACAGATCTTCGCCAAATCAAGCTGAAAGTTCTTGGGATCTAGTTCCCATGAAATGGCTTACTACATTCTTTTCTCAATTCATACGAGGTAGGGTGCGCTATCTCACATTTGATATCAACTGCATCCGTATCAAATAATTTATTTGCAAGAAGTTTCAAGGAAAATTCTTTCAATCGGTTGGCAGTGGGGTCCACTGCCCAATCCACCTTACCCACAAGTAAAAGTTTTAAATGTATAACATTACCGGGTTTTTAAATTTTACACTGCAATTTGTCTTATGGTGGGACTTTTATCTTTTATTTTTTTATTTTCAAGGTTACATGTTATCTGGCTTGTCTGGTAAAAAWTTTCATTCTTAATATCCCAAAACTGGGTTTGATATTTGTTTTTATCTACTGACCTACTAACCCCTAATCTGCTTGYCCACCCAGAAAATTAAAAAGATAAATGTGACTACTGTTTTTATGATATGTTAAGATTTTTTTTTAATTTTAAAATTACTGTAAATTCCTTTTTCATTATAACTTAWTTGCAATATATCTTCTGAAATCAAATGCTTTAAAAGTTGGTGAACTTCACTGTGATTTCCTAGATTTCTCTTTTCTAGGATTGATACAAAAGAACAATTGGTGTGTGGGAGTACTTATTAAAACTATTATTTTCCACTTAGTATGCACTGTCATTTAGTTTATAAGATGATGAAGCATATTGATTTATTACGTTATAATATTGCGAGAACTAGCTTACCATGACAGATTGCATTTATTGCTAAACTAGAATTTGACATTATCTATTGTTTATTCTAAGAATGTACATGGTGAATATAGTATTCCCACCCATAATTATTATTAAGGTTAGACTCCATGTTATACTGATAACCTGTTGTGGAAGTCCCTGCACACTAGTTTCTTTGGGTTCTCAGAGGCTCTACAGGAGTATCTACTAAGTGTAGATAGAAAACAAAGTCCAAATCTTCGTGTTGGTTCAGAAATCAGTGACAAGCAGAGTTACAGAGATAACTTGAAAGATAATTCGAAGGATGAAGGACAAAGTATCAAAGGACCTCAAGCCATAGTTTGCAGTGACTCTAGGAGCCGAGGACTGTTCTTAGAAGTAGCAGATGGAGAGTGGGAGAAGAACTTGATTTTGACTGTAGACAATAGAGTCCAAGATTGGGAGAATGTTGCAGGGGCAGTTGCGAAGAGTACTGCTATAGTTAGACCTATTGATGACTCAAAGGCTGTGTATTATGGAGCTGGTGAAGAAGTAGTGATCCCAGATGTTGAGTCAGTGGAAACTCCAGTCGGAAGAGTAAGGGTAGAGAACTGGTTTCTGTCTTGTAACCATAATAACATCTCAGAAAGTCCTCTCGAGCTCCAGCTGGTAGGGCTTCCCTTCAATTACTGGAATGAGGAAACTCTGGTAAAATTGATTCAAGTCCTAGGTGGTTAGGGTCGATGGTCTGAAGCTCGAAGAAGCTCCTAGATGCGTAGAGATGCTCATTAATGGTTGCTGGCTTAAGGTTTGGGTTCTGCTGGAAGGTGAAACAACTCCTTGGATGAAAGGTTCTAAGGAAGAAGATGTCGACATCCTTGAAGGTTGGGTTACATGTGGAAAGAAGAGTTCGGGCCAGAAGGTCTTGAATAATGTACAGATGGCGAACGAAGATGAAGAGACACCACCCGGGTCAGTCAGTAAGTATCTGGATAAGAATGATGGTAGCCCAAACCTTTTGGAAAGTGGAGACCAAAGTGTAGGCAAAAAGTCTTATGCAAAGATCATTAAGGGCAGAGCCACACCAGCTAACCCTCTGGGTCCACAAGGCTTTTTAAAACCAGAGTGGATTCGAACCAGGTCCTTCTTTTGAGGGTGAACCAGAGCTGCCTTGTGGACAAGATTATAGGCATGTCTCTCGAAAAGAAAGGTCTTAGATGGGATCACAATGGCAGAGGGGATTTAAATCCCCTTTTTCACCTCAAGGCAACGTCCCAGGTGATTCGGAGATGGAGGTTGGAGAAGTGTCTCCACAAGGGTGGTCAGAGGGTGACGACAAGTTTGGTGAGGTAAATCAGTCTTTGAGTCTTTCAATTAAGAAAACAAGCCTGGAATGTTCGACTGGTGTTAAGGATGCAAAGAATGATTTGCAAATTCATAGGGAGGAAGTTCAATCCAGAAACAGAAAAGAAAACAGGAGGAAACATCTAAGGCCCAAAAAATATAATCTGAAAAGAAAGAGAAGGATGAGAAGAATTAGCTCTTCTGGGATTAGAAAAAGAGAGGAGAGGTGGGTTTGGGTGATTGCCAGGTTTGGCAAAGGCGGTGAGAAAAGTTTTGTCTCTGGTCCAGGAGAGACTCTCATCGACCGTTCTCTCTCGTCAACGTCTGGTAATGCTAGATGCTATTCTGAGGTTAGGAGGGGCTCCGATGAGAATCATGTTCCCTATGAGCTTGAGATCTTGAGTTTGACGTCTCCAGAGGATAGGTATGACTTGGAATGTCCAGTTTCTTCATGTGCAGAAGAGACAYCTCCCGTTGAATTGGAGAACTTGGAAAGAGGGGAGGCAATAACTAGGAAAGAGATTACTAATATAGATGCTGAGTCAGATGCTGAAAGCAATGATGGAGGTAAGGTTGGAGGAAAGAAAGATTTAGCCATTGAAGATTCTTTCGGTGGACAGGCTGAAAATCAGGACAAAGATGGCTTATTATATCAGGAAGTTGAGATTGGAAGGCTAGGTGTAAATTTGGGTCGAAGGAGCAGAATGAAAGAGAAGGAAGATCACAACGGTAGGAGAATTAACAAGAAATTGCGTAATTTGAGAACTCACAATATAGTCCATGTGACAGAAGGAAAAGWGTGAAGGTTAATGGGATATCTGGTACTGATAATAGGGGGGAAATAGTGCAAGATCAACCACTGTCCCCCCTTTTGTTGAAGGAACAACATGTCAATAAGGTTTCTGATGCCGATTCAGAACCTGGTGCAATGTAGCTGCTACAGGAGAATGAAAGTGCTGATAAAGCTACAAATAAGATGATTATCAAAGAATTAGTTGATAAGGGAGGTCACAGTTGGGAAAAGCTTGGGTTTATTTTTTTGGGGCAGTGAGGAATTTGCCAGGAGGGCCTTTGAAGAATTTGAAAGAAAAAAAGAGGAAGAGAAATTAAAGATCAAAGAGCATTWGAAAGGGASCAAGGTCTGGGATGAGGAATTCACAGATTGTTTTCTTAGGCCTGTTTTCTTTTCAGGAGTCTGTTTGGGTTTTATTCTGCTTGAGAGGTTAGTTTTCTTAGGCCTGTTTGGGTTTCCTGTGGTTGCTTCTTGCTATAGGTGATGTCTTATCACCTTCTGTAATCTTTTTTCTTTAATAATTTTTCTTTTAAGAAAAGAAAGCATTGTCGCACAGACATTACTTTTGTGTTTTTCAATGATTATATGGTTCTTACAACACCAACTTCATTACAGGTTGGAGTGGCTGCTTTTCACTTGAGGTCAGCTTCATTACATCTTTCTCAAATTCATTGGAACTAGCAGTACATATTAGAACACAAAGACCTTGCTGCATTTTTATGATCCTAAGGTGATTATTGCCCCCCTCCCGAAACAAGCTACCTCCGGATGGCATGGTTGGAGTTCCAGAGCTGGTGGATAGGTTTTATACATCAGTCAAGAAGGTGGTAATCTACTATTTTGGATTATGCAAATCTTTGTGTGTGCATAATCCATGAATTGCAGTAATTTTTTTTGATGATTATGCATTCCAGTAAAATTAAATGTTCTGTTTTCAACTGTGCAGGTTGTAATGTCTCATGGTTGCAAACCACTCACTATGGATATGACCATATTTTCGATGCATGGCATWTTTCTTGATTAGTAGATGTTTGAATGACTGCTATTGTGATCATATTTGCCCAGGTATGTATCAGCATTAGGTATTAATTCAAATGTCCTACTTGCTTGGGCCCCAACCTTTGGTTGCATGGCTGTAGAGTACATTCGACAATGTTTCTACCCTAAAAAGAATTGGGCTATGTTTTGTTCATTTTGAATATTAAAATAATGTTATGCTTTTTAAATATGCCTGTTTACATAAATTGGCATCAGTTGTACCATATTAGTACGAATTTTGTGAATTCCTGGCATTGCATAAGTAGCTCTGTAGGGATGTATGTAACGTAGATGATATCTGCTCAATGCTTTTACAGTTCTAATCTTCCTTTGTTGCTTAAAATTAAAAAATATTATTATTTTTTTCTCTTTTGATCAGTAGCAACTAACAAATACAAACTTTTTTTTGATAAATGAACATAATTTATTAGTGAACTACTGAAACATGAGAAGAGGTTGTCATACAGCTTAAAAGAAAATAAGAGTATGACACTGGTTTCTGTCCCCTATGCAAATTACATTTGGCCTAAGGCCAAACTTTTATCAAACCCTTGGACCCTTTGAATTTCCAACTACATGTCCTTTGAAAACCATTTAAAGGCTTAAAGTGTTTGATATCATTTCTATAACTCCACAAAGCTGCTTTACTTCCTTTTGTTAACCATCTGATTGCAACATTGGGTGCCCCTTTAATAACCAATTATTCAACTCCCATCTCCTTTATGTTTCATACTCCGGTAACTACGTGAACTCCTTCACCTATTGGACCTGAAAACATTCCACGAACGAGTCCATTCTCATATCTTATCACTCCCCCTACCGTAAAAACCTTGTTCCATCCATCCATCCCTTTGCCAGTGATTTCCACTCCCTCCTTGCATTTTGCTTTTTTTTGTTGATGAGGCTGCAATTGCTGCCTAATTTCTAAGAATATCATTCATTATGAAATCCAAGAACAAATATATTGTTTTCAATCAATGTGCCACCCTGACTATAATGTTTTCCATTAAATCCTCTTCATTTCTTTCTTTTTCCTTAAAAATTCATGCACTCCTTTCTTCCCATATAGTCCAAATCATAGTAACCRGTGCAATTGTCCATGTTAATCTTCCTCTTTTGACAACTTGAGCGTGGACCATCAAACTACTTGTCCAAACTAGCAGGGAGAGAGCACTTGCATCTAAATAGAGCAAGGAAATATTCYGAAATACAATAGACAAATGGGTAAGAGATTAGGAAGTGGTAAGCCGTCTCCCCATTCTTTTTGCACATTAGACGTGAATCAAGAGATTAATACCAGTTGGGTCTCTTCTTTTGTATTAAATCACTAGTATTAATGCTCTCACGGAAGACTTCCCAACAGAAGACACTAATTTTTAGGGGGATGTGAACACATCAAACTTCCTTTACAACAAAGGACATCTGGGAGGGACTAGGAGAAAAGCAACCTTCCAATCTAGGATCAAGAGAAACCCCATCCAATACATGCAAAATGATAGAAACAAGAGAAATTTCAAAGTTCCTATTATTTTCTTACTTGAATAAAAGAATTAGAAAATAGAATGTGTTTTCTGATGTAATTTAGAGAGAAGAAGAAGAGAAGTCAACCTAGGTTCGAAGAGAAGAGAGAAGAGAGAATAGAAGAAAGAAGAGAGAATAGAAGAAAGAAGAGAAAGGGTGTGGTTGGATTGTTCTGGCCGCCTCACTAAATCTTATTTATATCTGTGTGAGTTACTCTAATACCCCTACTTAAAACAAAAGAAAATAAAAAAAAGGCCAAATTGGCCCAACTACTATAACTGTAACATAAAGAAATAAACCGTCAAATAAAGTTTTGGGTTGAGACCACACACACAAAGTATGGGGCTGGGACCACAGACACACTAATAGTCTATCAACAAACTCTACATTCTTCTTTGCCCAAAGGATCAGCCAAAACCCGAAGGAGGAGATAAGTGGATAACAAGCTTAAAAATAGTTTTCCCTTTAAGAGAGGAACGATGAACATAGAGTGGAAACTACCTTTCAATGGAGACTCCTCAATCCAATGGTCTTCCCAAAATTTGATTTTATTACCAAAGACAAGGTCATACTTGTTGTGATTAAGGAAGAATGGGAGGATACCATGAATGTGTCTCAAAGTAGAGTCAACAGTAGTTCTATGTGATAGACCATCGTCCCAACTTTTATTTGTGAGCCTATGCATACTTACCACAACCCGATGGCATAAAGAATGGGTGGCTTTGTGGGATATCGAAAATCTTTTACATAAAGTTGTTGCGAGTATTCATGGGCTCTCAGAGAATGGTTGGGATGCTGGAATTCTATGTAGAGCTACCCTTACTTCTYCGTCGAAGGCAATTCATAGCACTCTTTCACTATTTCTTAATCGCATCATCAATGATATCTCGTTTGGCAACAAGGTTAAATTCTTGGAAGATCTCTATCTTGGGGAATCCTTGTTGAAATGTGTGTTTCCTTTTCTCTATGCCATCAGCAATCTTAAAAAGAGAACAACTTTTGGTTGAAAGTTGGATTTTAGGAGAAATGCGAGAGTTTGAATTTATTCCCATTTCTAGGTTTTTGTATTTGTTGGATGGGGGTGGTTCTTGATAGCTCAGTTGGGGATAAACGAATATGGGTTCCTAACTATTAAGATAGGTTTTCTTGTAGTTCACTCTTTTAATATGTTGGTTAGGGTCACTCCCCACTTTAAGTCTATCCTTGTCGGTTGTGACATATTGAGAGTTTTGGTGTCCCCCTATTCCCCTGAAAGTTAGTACTTTTTGTAGGGGCGTTTTCAACAGAAGCATCAACACCCGTGACATTTTGCAACAAATTAAAGACCTAGTAGGCCCTTATACCAACCTGTAGGACTGGTGTCCTACAAACAACCATCCAATCTATGAGGATCAAGAGTAACCCCATCTAAGACATACAAAAGACTAGAAACAAGAGCAATTTCAGAGTTGATAAGGTTTTCTTCTCTAGCCCAAAGTTTCAGCTAAAGTCAAAGGAAACAAGGGGATAACAAGCTCAGAAATAGTTTTGCATTTAAGAGAGGAAGCGATGAAGATAGAGCGGAAGTGATCTTTCAATGGAGACTCCCCAACCAAGGGCTTGCCCAAGATTTGATTTTATTACCAAAGACAAGGTTATACTTGTAGCGATTGAAGAACATTGGGATGATACCATGGATGTGTTGAAGGAGAGACAAAATTAGTTCCGTGTGATAGTCCATCATCCCAACCTTTATTTGCCAGCTCATGCATACTTACCATAACCCGATGGCATAAAGTTTTGGCAGCTTCGTGGGATATCAAAAATCAAGGGCATAAAGTTGTGGTTGGGATGTTGGAGTTCTATGCAAAGATACATTTATTTCCCCTTGGGGGGCAATTCATAGTACTCTTCCCCTATTTCTTTATCGCATCATGTATGGTCTCTCGTTTGGAGAGAAGGCCAAATTCTTGAAAGGTCTCTAGCTTGGGGAATCCTTGTTGAAAGGTGTATTTCCTTGTCTTTACGCCATCTCTAATCTTAAGAAGAAAACAATCTCTAAGTTTGTTCCACCTCTTCATCCCTTGGACTTGATTGGAAGTTGGATATTAGGAGAAATCTGGGAGCATTTGAATTTGTTCCTATTTCTAGTCTTTTGAATTTGTTGGATGGGGTGGTTCTTGATAGATTTGTTGGGGATAAACAAATTTGGGTTCCTAACTCTTCAAGTAGGTTTTATGGTGGTTCCTATTTTAAAATGTTTGTTAGGGTGTCATTCCCCTCCCCATGTCCATTCTTGTGACATGTTGAGAGTTCTGGCCTGCACCTATCCCACAAATGTAGTGGCTTTTGTTGGGTAGTTTTTAATAGAAGTATCAACCCTCATGATGTTTTGCAAAAAATAAAAAGAGACCTAGTGGGCCTTTATCTCCTCCCATAGGACTGGTGTCCCACAAACAACCATCCAATCTAAGAGGATCTAGAGTAACTCCATCTAACACATGCAAAAGCCTAGAAACAAGAGCAATTTTAGAGTTGAAAAGGTTTTCTTCATTAGCCCAAAGTTTCAGCTGAAAGAGACAAGAGGATAAAAAGCTCAAAAATAGTTTTGCATTTAAGAGAAGGAACGATGAAGATAGAGTGGAAGTGATCTTTCAATGGAGACTCTTCAACTAAGGGCCTTCCCATGATTTGATTTTATTACCAAAGACAAGGTCAAACTTGTAGTGATTGAGGAATAGTGGGAGGATACAATAGATGTCTATTGAAGGAAGGTCAAGAGTAGTTCTGTGTGATAGTCCATCATTCCAACCTTTATTTGTTAGCTCTTGCATACTTACCACAACCCGATGGCATAAAGTTTTGGCGGCTTTGTGGGATATCGAAAAGCATGGGCATAAAGCTGTGGTGAGCACTCATGGACTCTCAAAGAATGGTTGGATGCTGGAGTTATGTGCATAGATACATTTACTTCCCCTTGGAGGGCAATTCTTAGTATTCTTCCCTATTTCTTTATCGCATCATGTATGGTCTCTCGTATGGAAGCAAGGTCAAATTCTTGGATGATCTCTAGCTTGGGGAATCCTTGTTGAAAGGTGTATTTCCTTGTCTTTACTCCATATCTAATCTTAATTAGAAAACAATCTCTAAGTTTTTTCTACATCTTCATCCCTTGGATTTGATTGGAAGTTGGATTTTAGAAGAAATTTGAGAGCGTTTGAATTTTTTCCTATTTCTAATATTTTGAATTTGCTGGATGGGGTGGTTCTTGATAGATAGTTGGGGATAAAAAATTTGGGTTCCTAACTCTTCAAGTAGGTTTTATGGTGGTTCCTATTTTAAAATGTTTCTTAGGGTCGTTCTCCCCTCTCCATGTCCATTCTTGTGACATGTTGAGAGTTCTAGTGTGCACCTATCCCTCAAATGTAGTGGCTTTTGTTGGGTAGTTTTTAATAGAAGTATCAACCCTCATGACGTTTTGCAAAAAAAAAAAAAAAAAGAGACCTAGTTGGCCTTTACCCCCGCCCGTAGGACTGGTGTCCCACAAAAGACCATCCAATCAAAGAGGAACAAGAGTAACCCCATCTAACACATGCAAAAGGCTAGAAACAAGAGTAATTTCAGAGTTGGAAAGGTTATCTTCATTAGCCCAAAGTTTCAGCTAAAGCCAAAGGGCACAAGGGGATAAAAAGCTCAGAAATAGTTTTGCATTTAAGAGAAGAAACAATGAAGATAGAGTGGAAGTGATCTTTCAATCGAGACTCCTCAAGCAAAGACCTTCCCAAGATTTGATTTTATTACCAAAGGCATGGTCATACTTGTAGTGATTGAGGAACAGTGGGGGGATACCATGGATGTGCATCGTAGAAGAGTCAAGAGTAGTTCTACGTGATAGTCCAACATCCCAACCTTTATTTGTTAGCTCATTCATATGTACCACAACCCGATGGCATAAAGTTTTGGCAGTTTCGTGTGGGATATCGAAAATTATGGGCGTAATGTTGTGGTGAGCATTAATGGACTTTCAGAGAATGGTTGGGATGTTGGATTTTTGTGCGGAGATACATGTGCCTCTCCTTGGAGGGCAATTCATAGTACTCTTACCCTATTTCTTTATCGCATCATGTATGGTCTCTCAGCTTGAAACAAGGTAAAATTCTTGAAAGATCTTTTTTTGAGAAAATTTAACCAGAATTTGTTGAGAAAAAGGGGGGTGGGGTGGACAAGAGGAGATATACAAAGCAGGGGGGAACCCCTACAAGTTACAAAGGAGTAAGCTTATCGCTATACAGATGCTCCAAATATACACCAAATTTAGCTAGGCCATCTGCAGTACAAGTTACAAAGGAGGAAGCTTATCGCTATACAG